AAAAACCAAAGGTGGACTGACTCCAAAGCTCGCTGCTTTCCCCTTGTATGAAAGCCAGTTCATGGCAGCCACGTAACTGCTCCTTCTCTAAGAAAGCTGCAGTGTGTCCCTCTGAATGTGCTGAACCTGGTGTCAAGGAGGTGACACACATTTAAAATTAATTGCCTGTTTTCCAGGCTGCAGCTGTAATGAGGCAGACTCAGGAGCTTACTTGGAAAGAGGAATCCTCTGAGCAGCCTGTGTGTTGTGAAATGTGTTTAGAACAATAGCTGCTCTATTCTTTAATGTTGGGCTTGGTCTTGCTCCCTCTGAAAGCTGCAGGAATGGAACTCAATCTTTTCAGCTTGTCAGTGGCACAGACATACCAGCTTAGTCTATTTATAGCCCTGAACCATTTAATTTTTCTTGCCTCTATTATCCATTTATCAGCCATCAGATAAAATGCTGTGTAGTTACTAACAAATGCTGCCTCTATCCTGGCCATCAGAGCCTTCTCAGAGAGGGGCAGCCCATCTCCCTCTGGGAAATGGTGATCTCTAGGTCAGAGATGAGGAATCCAAACTGTAACTGCAATACTAAAATGTCTTGCAATTAGTGCCTAGTCAGATGTGTCTCGGCTTTCTTTCTTTCAATATTAAATGTTATTTTTCTTATTAGTCTAGGGTTTTCAAATTTTCTCTCCAGCTGATTAAATATTGAGGCTGGAACACCATAAAGGCCAGTCTGTATTCCTCACATCCTTGAAAGGGAAAATATTCATTGTCAAGGTTTGGAACTTGAGTCTGTTCTGAAACAAAACAAATGAAATTTGCTACTAAATAAATTTAATATCAAATTGGTGTACACAAGTCACTTGAAACTCATTAGGTACACGAAGACATTGAAATGTCAGCTATGTTTTCTTTCTAAAGGCCAGAGATTTCTTTTGCATGCAATAGGTCAGAAACATTTTTCAGGAGAGTGCCAAATACTCCCAGGAGCATTGGCTACAGGCACCAACCAGCTTTCACATTTATTTTGATTCTTGCAACTCAGAGTAGATTAATAATGGAATTCTAATGAAGTTCCACATGAAAACAAGCTACAAATGCATTGCCGGCATACAAGGGCATGAACTTTCTCACACAGAATATTACTCATTTAGCTATTTTACATAATTATTTTGAAACCAAAACAATTAACGATGCACTTGAAGAGAATGTCTGACAAGAATGACACTTTCCTTTGCAAAGAAAACCTCACATATACTATTTTAATACCAGCAGAACCTGAGGTCTCACTGAGGGAAAGGTCTTGCCTCCCATGTAGTGCTAGTAAAGAAGAATTTTGCTATACCAAACTTGAGCCATCACATAGAGCTCTGCACTGAGGATGTTGTGTGCTGCTTGCATGGCACAGCCTGTCTATCTCAGCTGGTCAAGGGCACACTGAAGCTGGGGACAGGCCACCCCAAGCACTGGCAGTAGGGCTGGACACCTTGTTGTTTTCTTCAGTGTCGCACTGTCCACAGAGGCCCTTTGAGTGGGGTAGCAGTGCAGTGGTGTGCTGGGCTGCAGTTTCAGATGGTGCTGCTTTTAAATGCGAAAAAAAATCATGGTTTCCTAGTTTAAAACATACATTAATTTCTGACCCTACTTATAGGGGAAGGAAAGAGAAAAAAGGTGAAGTCCAGTGCCTATACCCTTCCTTGCTGAGAGACAGTCCCAAAGCTTGCTCACATTTTCATACCATCAAAACCTAAAATTGTAGCTCAAGTAAAGACACAGCTTTTCATTGTCTGTATTGCTTGTCCTTTGCACTAATGCAAACCAATATCTGTTCCAGATGAGAACTTCAGAAATAATGAAAAAGAAACTGAACTAAAAACAAAATAAATAATGCATGGAACACTGATCAAACTCTGAACCTGTGTACTCCATTCAGTAGTAAGCTCAATATTTGGAGTATGGTTACCTGCTAAAATGAGAATATTCTATTTTCCACCACCTTCTCTTTTCCTTTCCCCTCTCCTTTGCTTTTCTCTGGCTCTTGAGGAGCTGATTCAAGTTACTAAGACAGGAGAAAGCTCACCCAGAAAAAAAAACAAAACACAAGAGGTTTCCGCTGGGTTACTGAGCAAAAATAGGCCCACCATATGGTCAGCTGGAGGGTGGGGGTGGGATTCCAAGGCCAGGAGCAGTACTGGCCACAGGATGAAAAGAAGAAGGATCAGCAGAAAAACTTATTCTTGCTGTCAGGATATTTTTCTTCACATTTATGTTTCAGCTCAGGCTGAGGCAAAGCCCAGAAGTGATGGGGGGTAGGGTAGCACATGACTGGTGGTGGGGAGGGAGAGTAGGGATGTGGCAAATGGTAATTAGTTTGGACTAAGCTGTTTTGGAAATCCAGGTTTAGCTTCTTGGCCCAGAGAACTCTTCTCACCAGAGAGCACAGTCTCAGGCTGCAGAGGGGACTGGAGAGTCAGGTGACAGAATCCAGGTTTCCCTAGCTGCAAAACAAGCAGCAGTAAATATCTGGCGTACTGATTAAAAGAGTAGGAATTTGAAAATTAATAGTGATGTAATAAAAAGACATCGAAAAAATATCCTCAAAGGTTTGTGGTGTATATGGATTTCATATTTCTGTAAACCATGCAGCATTTCTCTTTTGTTGTGAATTGGCACTTCCCAAACAGGTAAATAGGGCAGTGATGTTGCTAGGCCATAAGAGGCAAAGACTTTCAAGAGCAGCTGTTTAAAGTTAGAGATCAAAGGCCACACTTAAGTGCCTAAGTGGGTGTGTGGTTTTCAGAAGTGCTCAACATTAACACATCATCAATGGAAGCTGCTCTGAGTCTTGGGCCTCTGAAAATAGGACACTGAGTAGTAGGACATAGGACTTAAAATACATTTTTAAGCACTTAGTCTGGATAGTAAGTTTACTATTAGACTGAATGAAAAAGCTCAGAAAGCAGGAATAAATGCCATTAAGCCTGCAGTAAAAGAACGGATATATTTATTTTCTAAATTATTAATCCAAAATATTTAACGAAAATATTTAAGCAATAAGCAAAACCATTCCAGTGTTAACTTCAGCACTTCACTGACCTCCTCAAGCATTCAAGACTGAATTACCTTAACAAATGTTGATGATAGAAGTTTCCTATTAGGTGTTTGACATTGTAAGGGGAAGCCGTGATTTCCATTTCTTGTGAATAGGATGTCAGCCTGAAATTACCTGTACTGCTTCAGACTAAGAAACATTTCATTTTTCTACCATATAACTCTCTAGAAAACAATACATTCTGCAGACAAATACAGATAAGTGTAACAGTAATGTTTTATATTTGCCATTCCCTGCTTTTCCCAGGGTTCTTCTCAGCTAGCAGGATTGAGAGGTGGGATGATACTCAAGGCAATCCTCAGCTGGGGAAATCTAGTCTTAAGATAAAACCTCTCCTTCCCCAAAGAGGACCTTAAGTTGGAATAAAACTGTTAATACCATTTCTTTCTGAAGGAGTCTGTTCTTACCCGTTCTCTCTCTCTCTCCCCTTGGAACGCCAGCTAAGACCTGCTTTGGTAACAGAATTCTGTCTGACACAATTTCGGTGTCATGCACCTCGTCACGTAAAGAGGCCCTTGTAAATAACACTTCACGCAAGGCTGACCCAGCCAAGTTTGCCACATGATTGACTGTAAACAAACATATGGTAGAGATATGTCTTTTTCAAGGAGACAAGAATGGAGGGTGAAATTGAATCATCTTTGAGGTTACACACATGCATTTTACACATGTGAAGCTTTGGGGATCTGAAGTTATTCATTATATGCAAAGAATGGAGTGGAGCTGTTGGAGCAAGTCCAGAGGAGGCCATGAAGATGATCATAGGGTTGGAGCACCTCTCCAGCAAAGACAGGCTGAGCAGTTGGGGTTGTTCAGCCTGGAGAAGGCTCCAGGGAGACCTCATAAACAGACTTCCAGTACCTAAAGGGAGCCTGCAAGGAAGCTGGGGAGGGGCTTCTCGCAAGGGCATGTAGGGATAATGGATTTGAACTAAAGGAGAGCAGGTTTTGATTAGGTGCTAGGAAGAAATTCTTTGTTGTGAGGGTGACGAGACCCTGAAACAGGTTGTCCAGAGAAGCTGAAGATGTTCTGTCCTGGGAAGTGCTCAAGGCCAGGCTGGATGCAGCTTTGAGCAACCTGGTATAGTGGAAAGTGTCCCTGTCCGTGGCAGAGGGTTGGATTTAGAATCACAGAATGGTTTGTGTTGGAAGAAACCTGAAGGGCCATCCAAGATTCTATGACATGATTAAAAAGAAGTCAACTCACTGCTGTCTCTGGAGAGAAGCACCGGGGATTGGATGTAGATTGGTAAACCTCAGACATGGATTTTTTTTCTATTTGGAGGGTCATTTACTGACTGTTTGTGATATACAAGCTGTAAAAAAAAAATTGCAAAGATATCACATTCCATCATATTCTCTGAAGAGGTGGAAATCAGATGGAGTGTCATAGGCCTGAGCATATAATTTGTGAACTGAGAGCCTGAGACCCTGTTACAGAACCCAGACAGCTGGAGCCCTGTCAAGGCATTTAGCAAGGCTTCCAGAGTTTTCAACAGAGCAAAGATGTGAATTGGATAGCCTCTAAAACTCTATGGATTTTATTGGCTAGATAACTATAGACTATTAGAGGATCTTGAACACCTAGATTTTATGTAGGCACGTCCAAGAAGAGATTAAAATTTAGGTATGTTAATGTTCAAGCTGAAAGCCACTCCAGCTGTTGATGCTACAATATACTTCAGTGACACCTCTGCTTTTCTCTACTATGCTTTACCAGGGGAATTTACTGGAAAACAAACAAACAAACAAACAAACAAAGAAATCAATACAGGAAGGAGCATGTAGCTGATTGTGAGAGTCAAAAATAAATGCAGGACATTGAAGGTGGGGACCCAGCATTCTGCTCTGAGGTCTCTGTTCACACTGAAGGTGGTAAGAGGCAGATAAAATTGTTACCTGCAGAAATTTCCATCTGCCTCTGGAAGGGTCAGAGAAGCCATGGGATTCTTCAGAAGATCTGTCACAGTGTTATCCTTTGGTGTCACGTAAAAGAAAGGGATTCCAGTGCTGTTATTGACGGGACCATCGCTGAGAAGTAAACAGTTCCCATAGGGCATACCTTGGATCTGCAAAATCCAAATAGGCAACTGGTTACATCTTTACACATAGACCTTTTCAAGGTGGGGGATTCCCTCAAGGGCTCTGGCAGAGAGGACAGCCAGCCCCATTGCTCCCACTTTCTGTTACCATCATGAGAGAGCATTTCTTGTAAATTAGATCTATCATTTTTCTGTGAAAACAGATCTCTCTTCTATTTCTTCTCTCTAGTCCTGTCCATGACACTATCAGGAACATTTTGTCTTACACTAAGCTTAAAGGAACTACCAAATTAAAAATGTTTAAGTGAACAAATATCTTTTTTTGCTGCCATTGATGCCAGGAAATGTTTACTCTAAACCACTGCTCGTACCTTTCCGTAAACCCAAAAAAATATAGAGACTAATTTAGCCTTGATTCAGCCTGCTTTTTACTCTAATAGTGCCTCCTCTTTTGGTTTTGACTTACAATGTGATAGCATTGGTTTGCAAAAACAAGAAAGCATTTGAGTTAGAATTGTGTTTGAAGTCAAACTGGACATCAGCTCAGCTTCCTGGGCAGGAACATCAAGTTCCTGATGCGGGGGGGAACCAAGCCAGCCAAAGTAAAATCTCCTCTCATGGCAGAGAAGGGACACTAAGGAGCCAAGTTTTCAAAAAGATTTTCTCCCATACACTGCCCTGTGTACACACAGTGGTTATAACGCATGCAAAAATGTCCTTGCCCAGTAGTGACACTCATTAATGTGCTTCAGAATGACATATACTCCTACTATGCTTTTCATCCCACTATAAATAGCAATGACAGATATTCACTTAATTGCTCTTTCTTTTCATGTCTTCAGATATTTTTTCCTCATGGTCTATTAAATGTTAATCAGTAAAATTATCTGTCAATACATTAAATCTTTTACAACAAAATCAAATTAAATATGAATAGTTAATAAGAAAACCCTGGATGATGTTGTTGCCTGAGTAGCCTGCTTTCTGATTTCTAATGTTTATATGCCTTTAAAGTTTTAATGCTTATAGTGCCTATAAATGGCCTTTGTTGGCTTTCCTTAGAAGTAATGCTTTAATGATATTACATAATTTAGAAAATACAAATCCTTGTTTATTATTGAGTTACAATTAAAAAAAACCCCTCTCAATATTGCAGGGCGTGTTCCCATTGCCTAAAATACTCAGTATGTCATGCAAGGTTAATGTTACTCTGGATTCTCAAAAATAATTGTGATCACAGGCAGCATAGTTCAGCATTCAAAGCAGCAAACACCACCCCCCGAATGTCAAATTTTATTATGAATCATATTTTTCTGTATTACTTCTATGTTCTGTCTAAAGGCAGATAACTGCAGACTATATTACGGGTGTAATTCCACCGAGGGTTTCTGGTGAGAGCATAAACCAAAAGAGTTACAATTATATGGTTTAATAGGATTTCCAAAAGCTGATGTAGAATTACAGGCTTCTTCTGTCTACATATACATTCATTTAGTAATATCTTTTTGTCAATCTGCTACTTTGTATTTCACAATAACATTAACTCCCGCTAACTCAGCCAAGCTTCCAGAAGACTTAACGTGCTTCTAAATTTAATTCAAAATCATAAGCTAATTAATCTGTGAATACTTTCAACAGAAAGTTAAGAATGGTTGGGTTGGTTTTTTGTTTTTTTTTTTAATTTCTCTTTTTTCCCCCTTTTGTCTGAGTGGTACTGGATGCTGTGTCTCATCCGAGCGTTTCACTTTAAAATTTTAAAGCTGGAAAAAAGAATGACCCCCAAGAGCAGACCAGCTATTTTGTTTATTGCTCCTGACAGAGAAATCGCTTTTTAAGCTGGTACACCTGGACGGACGGGCACATTTTGCGGTAGCCCAGCAGGCTCTCCTTCTCCTCATCCTCCTGAAACAGCCCCTTTCCAAACCCTGCGATGCAGCTCTGCCTTCCGGCCTTGAGATGTTGCTGTTTCTGGTGTCTCCGGTGCGGGTTTTAGCGCGCATCCTCCCTCCCTGCGCTCCGGGCAGTTCGCGCTGCTCCCGCTCCCGCTCCCGCCGCGGGCTCCGTACCTTTCCCCGGGCGGCCCGCGTCGCCACGAAGCCCCAGGCGCTGCGCCGGGCGAGGCCGCGGGCGGTGCCGGCACGTCCCGGGGCCGCGCCGCCCTCCCGCGGCCGCCGCCGCCGCCCGCAGCGCCTCCGCATCGGCACAGCTCCGCATGGCCCGGCCTGCCCGGCCCGGCCCGCCACGCCGGGTGACCCTGCCTCTGCGGGGCACTGGGACGCTGCTGGAGCCCCTGGATCAGGTATCGCCCGTTTTAGGTTCTTACACGCCCCACAAAACCAAGAAGATGGAGCTGTCCGGGCAGAGGCGGTGCGACCTCTCAGTTTATTAAAGAAGAGACGATCCACGAGGGAGAGTGTCCATGTGAACGCTCCCGCTGCAGGGAAAGCTTCCTTTGGGCGCTGGGGTCAAGCCACAGCAAGACCCCCGGTCCGAGGTGGCAGGCAGCATTAGTTTGGTGCTTGCAAGGATGTGGTTTTGATATGCAAATTCACGGAGCTGCTATTAAACGTTTTCCAGGCGAGGTTTTAATTAGGCAAAGATTTGCATGTATATGAGTTTATATCAATAGCCCAATTTAATAAAGGCACATGTGCATACAGTTCCTTTCTTGGCAGTAGACCTCTTCAATATGGCAATGCAAAGCTGTAATTCTTTAAAACACATGCTTGTAAACTTCCATTGCATCCATGCAAATTATTTAAGGAACACAGGTTCAGTAGGAGACAGGGAAGAATGAATCTTTCAGAAGCCTTTGCCTGTCAGAAAGCTCTCAGGTACATCTAAAAGATGCTCTCAGGTACATCTTACTTTTTCATATCTGTGAAGAACAGATTCCAAGATCAGTCTAGTGACACAACTTCTGCTTAATTGTGCCATGAGAACAGGTATATCTAATCTAGAATCTAAACTCTTATAAATAAAAGTGGACTGGAGAACACTGAGTATTTTTAGCTTATATTTTTTCCTATGCTCCCTGTTCCATTTTTTTTTCTTCACCATATAAACCTAAGGAGTAGTGGAACTGGGTATAATGGACCTTAAGACAATAATAGTTTTTTCTGATTGTGAAGACACTTCCCAAGAAAATGTAATTTTGGCACCAAACTCTTAATATTATCTGCAGAATTGAATACATGAGTACCTTTTCCTTTAGCACGTGATCCTGTCTACATTTGCTTACCACACTTTGGAAAATTGATTCCCACTTCAGAGCTTGAGCTGAGACAGAGGAATGGAGATGCAAGCAGAAAATCAATGTAGATTTCCAAACCCAAAATGAGTGAAAGCTTCCCAAGCTCCTGACAAGTGCTTTTCTCTGATTCAGGATATGTCCCTTCTTAAAATACCGAAGCAGTTGTCCCTTCTTGAAATAGCAACCAGGCACAGACAACTCACTGCAGGCATGCTCTTCAAAAATAGCCAAACCCCCCATTTCCATGGTGCTTCAGGGAATTTCCTCACACAATCTGATGCATGCAAGATACAAACCTCATCATTTGTGTTTACTACTTTCTATGAATTTATGCGAGAGTTTCTCTTTATAAATGTCTTTGCTTGTACTTTACTTACAGAACAAGCCCAAACAACCTAGTTTTGAACATAATAAAATACTATAATTATATACAGCCTATTTTATTTTGGTTAATAGAATTATATGTGAGATACTGACTATTGTATCCTGCAGAAATGGTAAATAAAGCAGGAATTTCTAAAGACAGGAATTAGTGCTAGGCTTTTTATTCAATAAATATAAATGTTAAATTAAATACCATAGACACAAAGCAGCATTAACACAGAGTCATTCATTTCTGCTGTAGCTTCCAGATAATTTACCATGATTACCTCAGGTAGGTCTTCAGCTTTACTGACAACAGAAATATACAAGAAATACATAAAACCAAGCCACAAGTACTTCACCTTTATCTTTTGAAGATTTATTAAAATAATCCAAATAAAATCACATGACAACTTAAAATAATTGCATTGCTAGCCCAGTTTTGTATTAAAAAAAAAATCTTTAGTTTAAGAGAACAAAAACAGTATTTCTTAAACTTTTATCAAAAAGTAAGAATCATATATCATATAGATATATCATATCATATAGAATGCTACAGCCAGGATGCTTTTCTCTGAAGATTTGCTGTTCATTGGAGGCAAAGAAATATAATTTCATCTTTTTGAGTAAGAAATGTTTCCTTTCCAACTTGAAGATCCAACTTAGTACATGATATAATAATTTTCTCTTCCTAAATCACCTGGATGTGCTGAAAATTAGAAAAGAAACATGGAAATGTTTTGACTGTAGCAATTGTAAATAATTTGTTTCTCCCTTCATTGAACAAAAAAAAGTCTTCTCTATTCTTACTTGCTGAACCTGAGGTATTTTACAGATATCCAGCATTATTTTACATCAAATAAACCCAACAAGAGGAAGCACACATTGGGGTTCATCATAGGATGGCAAAGGTCTGGCAGAAGGGCATATCCCCTTTGAATACATCATTCACACTTCTCACACTTTATTTGTTTTGAAAATGAATAGAAGGGCTTACAGCTCACACAGTCTCAGCCTCTCTCCTGATGGGCACTGCTTTTTCATGCTGAAATTCTGGCTTTCTTAAAGGCAGCAGAAGTTTTGACACTGAATTCAAGCAGGGTCATGTTTTTGCTGTCATTTTTTGATCATTTTAGTTAATGATTTCACTTGATCTCTGTATCCTGGTTTATACAGACCACTCAGATGAACACTTACCATTCCTACAAGTCAAGTAGTTAACTATGTCCTATTTTTTCTCCCTTTTTAACAAACCAGTGTTTGATTTGCTCTCTGCCAACAGAGCTAGGAATAGCATACCCTCAGTCTCTTCGTGCCCTGATTTGCAGTATATTGTATGTTATGAAGGTGTGGAATTGGATTAAAAGCTACGGCACACTGCTCTGAAGATGAACCCACTGCAGGTGTGCTGCTTAATAGGATTTTAATTTGGTAGCAAGTGAAAAAAAAGCAGAAGCCTAGAATGAGATTTTCTAGATTAAAAAAAATGCTATTCATGCTGAGAGAAAGCAACTGCAAGCTCTGTGATAAGGAATAAAGATCTGGCCAATTTTCTCTGAACCGCACTTTTATAGATTATGGCTTGTTCAGAGCATCTCTGTTACTGCCACTGGTTTCATCAGTTTTGAGTTCGTACTATGTGTGTTTGGCTCTATAGCATTTCATCTGCCACACTTCCCTGCTAAGCCAGTGTGTACAAATCTTCTACTATCTTGTCCCCTGCCCTCTATGGTTTTTTTCCTATAAAATCAATGTTTTCCTTGGGAGATGCCACCATCCTGGTATGTATTCTGTTTTCCAGAGTATTAACTCTATTTATTAATTCTATGTATTAATTATTTAAACTATATTTAAAGATAACATCCATAAATGTACTGTGCTGTTCAAAATAAATGGGAAAAGATGCCTGCTGAGGAATCTAATTTATATTCAGCATCAACTAGGAATGGAAGACTAGAAACAGATGGAGAAGGAAGAGGAAGAATAAAGGTGATAACTAAAAGATCAGGAAGGGATCTGCTAAGCCACACATATTGGTGCTGCTGATATCAGGGTAAGGTTGGAAGATTCTTTTCTGATTTGTGTTACCAGTCTTCCCTCATATTTTTCCAGGGTTTTGTAGCAAGACCAAGTGGTTAACACTAATTTCAATGAGCTGAGTGGGGAGGTGTGATGAACAGATTTTTTTTTTCCCACAGCATGACAGGCTGTAGAGAAGGCATAGAAATGCCTTGTGGAGCAAGATTAAAAACTATGAAGGTTGGGTGATGCTGGCAATGGATGGGGTGGAGGATGAGAACTGATTAAAAGCTCTGGGTTACAGAAAGCTGCCAAGCCTGCCTAAGGTGAAGGAATTAAAAGCAAAAATTATGAAATAAACCTGAGCAATATGTCAGGCAGCAGAAATGTGGTCCAGGAAACAGCAGTGTGGCTGATGGATGCTGCTGTGGCTGCTGGGAGTTGAGATACCCAACAGAATGGGCTGTGGCCAAAGGGGGATTAGTCAAGGGCAGGGACAGATGGTTCCTTGGAAGCATGATGATGATTTTTGGTGGTCAAAAGTCACAGAACAAAAATCCTCATGCAATGGAAATCTTGTCAGAGGAATACAGAGATGGCAATACAAACAAAGCAGTGGGTGATCGAGATGCTTTTGGCAACTGTGTTTTTTCAGCAAGCCATGGCATCAGTGCTGATATACAAAAGAAAGAATCTGCAATAGCCACGGTGGGAGCACCACCCATCTGAAGAACATGAGCAGGCAGAAGTGCTCACTCATTCACTCACTCACTCACTCACTCACTCACTCACTCACTCACTCACTCACTCACTCACTCTCACAGCTCCTGAAGCCCTTTTCAGCTGCAGGTTCAAGTTTTTCGACTCCATCTCAAACTGTAAGCACTTGAACCACAACAGAACAAGTCCTTACTAGAATATCTTTTTCATCCCAGTTATTAGCATCTTGCACATGGACTGGTAGATTCCATCATCTGTTAGGTTATTTGATGTCTAAACTTCTACATTTTCTCAGTCATTCACTGTGTCCTTCTCTCATCCACACCTTCTCCCAAGTCCACATTCTCCACATTTTATACTCTTCCCCTTTTATTCCGAAAGGGATGATTCCTCATCCCTCACTCTAATCAGCCTTGCTCTGTTCTTATGATCAGGTACAAAAAATTCAAAACTGGTACATATTTATAAGCACATCACTTCCACAGACCAAACCTGGGTTAAGCCCTCGTCTGATGACCCCTGCAAAAAGCATTGCAATGAGCATAGGACATACAAAAGGCAGCACAGTGAAGAGCACAGGAAATGAAGAGCACAGGAAAAGGGCAGACAGATATTGAATAAAATTTCTAGTGGTTCATTTCCTCATTTCTGACCATCAATGATTTAGAGCTCTCTTGCAAATTGTCAGCAGCCAGCACAGTTTGCATTTTGACAGCACAGTTTGCATAAAGGTGATATGGTGGGATGGGTCTTTATTTTACATTTGAAAAATAACAAAAGCTGTCTATGCCCATCACATGTATAAGTCATTCTTGGTTTGTCCCCTGTGTGCCTGCTTACTCC